CTGCGCTACCAGCTCTGAGCACCGTGACCTTTACACAGTGACCTCTGCACACACAGTGAGTTACACATGTGCAGAACATGCAGTTTGAGGCCCACCTGACATGACAGAGCTCACTTTATCCAATTTGAGGAGCTGCAGTGTTTGTTAACAATATATGACAGACTGAATTCTTGTCCAGGTTGCATGCCCATGATACATCCATCATCTTCCAACTCCTTACTCTGGTCGTGGTCACCTGGAGGTGATCCCAAATGGTATGGCATTGTATTGCTGGGTACACACAGACACACACACAGACACACACACAGACAGGTTTGTAATTACAGTATATCTTTGTGGAGACTCTCCATTCATTCCTTAGGGGAAACCTCTAATCCCAACATGACGACCTTAACCCTTAACCTTAACCATAAGTAACCAAATACAATGCAAATTGTTTTGGCATTTTTAGTTATTTGATTGCAGTCACGGATTTTTATAAAATTGAATTTCCTCCTGTGGGGACAGAGAAAATGGTCTCCACATCATCAGAATAACAGGGTTGTATCACATTGTGGAGACATTTTATCTATCTTACAGTCCAGCAAGCTGTAAACTTACTGTATTTGGAGAAACCACCAGAATAACAGTGGTGGGCTGTAACACTTGCCATTTATTCTTCATTTTCTTACTTTCCTATGTCGCTGTTTGCCTGTTTCAACACTTTCCTATCTCTTTTTGCATGGTCCCATCTCTTGTGTAAGATCCACACAAGATTAATGTTTGACTAATACAAGCTAGTACCAATCTGTGGCATTATAAAAGGATTAATGAGCCAGTCAGCAGGCTTAATGCTGAAAAATGAAATTCAGCAGCTAAAAGCAAGCTGACAACAACTTCAAAAGTATTGGGACAAAGGTTAGTATAACAATACTTAATTAAAGTTGAATTTTAATAGATATATAGCAAAGGAATCTAATTAGCAAAAGCTTGGCTAGTTAGGCTGACATCTAGCTTGTTGCTATTAGAATACACTAATCAGCCATAACATTAAAATTACCTGCCTGATGTTGTGTAGGTCAAAGGTGGGCAACAGAAAGAGCTGTTGCATATGCAGATTTTCACTAGAACTCCCTAATCAGATAACTAATTAGAGGACTGAGCACCTGGGTCTGGACAGGTGACCTAAAGGTTATCCCAAAACGCTGCATACAGACTGACCCTTTGCAGATAAGATTGGCCACCCCTGGTGTATGTCCCCCCTCGTGCCACTAAAACAGCTCTCACCTATTGAAGCCTGGACTCCAAAAGACCTCTGAAGCTGGCCTGTGGTACCCTTCACCAGGACATTAGCAGCAGATCCTTAGTCCTGTCAGTTGTCAGGTGAGGCCTCCATGCGTCAAACTTTGTCCTGAACATCTCACAGATGCTCAATAGGATTGAGATCTAGGCAAAATTGGAATTTGAAAGTCAACATCTTGAACTCTTTTCATGTTCCTCAGATTTTTGCAGTGTGGCACCACTGCCACGAAGGGGTGCACCTAGTATGCAATATGACATCCACGTCAATACCAGGATCCAAGGTTTCCCAGCAGAACATTGCCCAGAACATCACACTGCCTCCCCTGGCTTGCTTTCTTCCCACAATGCATCCCGGTGCCATTTCTTCCCCAGGTAAATGATGCACACACATCCGGCCATCCTCATGATGTAACAGTAAAAATGACTCATCAGACCAGGCCGCCTTCTTCCATTGTTCCATGGTCCAGTTCTGATGCTCACTTGCCCATCGTAGGTGCTTTCAGTGGTGGACAGGGGTCACCATGAGCACTCTGACCGGTCTGAGACTACACAACCCAATATGCAGCAAGCTGTGATGCACTGTGTTCTGACACTTGTCTATCATAGTCAGCATTAACTTTTTCAGCAATTTGGGGTTGGACCGGATGGGCTAGCCTCCGCTCCCCACACGCATCAATGTATCTTGGACACCCATGACCCTGTTGCTGTTCCACCTCTTGCCCTTCCTTGGATCACTTTTGATAGGTACTACCACTGCATACTGGGAATACCCCACAAGTCCTGCCATTTTGGAGATGCTCTGACCCAGTTATCTATCCATCACAATTGAACCCTTATTGAAGTGGCTCAGATCCTCATGATTGCCCATTTTTCCTGCTTCCAACACATCAACTTCCAGAACTAACTGTTCACTTGCCTAATATATAATGGCACCCTTGACAGGTACCATTGTAATGAAATATTTAACATTATTCACTTCACCTGTCAGAGGTTTTAATGTTATGGAAGATTAGTGAAAACAGTAAGTACAAAAGCTTTTTATTTTTGTGCATTATTATATTAAATGTAAGGGCATTAGCAGAAAATTGTTGTAGAAGGAAATCAAGTCTACAGTGAGAAGATTTTCACTCTGGATTTATCACTCTGGATAACCCTAACCTAAACCTGACCCTAACCCTAACCCTAACCTAAACCTGACCCTAACCCTAACCTAAACCCTGACCCTAACCCTAACCCTAACCTAAACCTGACCCTTTCTCTGATATTGTAATGAACCACAACAGCCCCTGTGTCGTCTTTCCCATTTTTATGACCCGTTAGCAGGATGCTGTGTTTGAAACATAGATCAACATTAAACTTAAACTAAATGTCATCCAGTTAAACAGCCTTAACTGGTCTTATGATAAATTTTCTTTAGTCTTCTAAGAAACTGTGAAAAACACCCTTCTGGCGGTTGATGGTGATAACAATCCCTTTGTATAATTATTTTTATTTAGGTATTGTTTTTTCTCAAATACCCTTGTTAGGCTGTTGGCAATGATCCTTCTGGGACAATTAACATCTGTTTACTATGGCTTAAGGGATCTGCTGACATTTCGCGCTCCACAGAGTCTCGTCACGGAAACAGAGCGAACGCTTGAGCGAAAGAGACCTGTCCCCATCAGTCCTCATTAGGAGCTGTTGAGAAAGGTTAATGGCAGCAGGACCCATGTTTTGAAAGCACTTTTGGGTGTACAAGACACCTATTAAGCACCCTAATGGGACAGTGGATAAAGTTCAGTGAAACGGAACAAGCCTCAGTTGGAAACCCGTGTGACTGACACCCTCTGCCGAGCTTTGAGTACCTTAACTAAAAGCCCAAAGGCAAATGCTATGATGAGCAGCAAGTCTGTTGTTTGGAAAAGAATCTTCGAGGCCTTGGCCTCAGTTCTTCACTGAGTGTTTATCATACCGGCCTGTCAGGTCAGCAATGTACGACTATAATGCGCAATAATAATTTATGCCATGACTATGTCTTGCCACTTTGCGGAAAACATAGTATTTATCTTCTCCCCTTGGAGAGTGTATATTGTAGATTATGTGACTATTCAATTTTTATATTTTATTTTCTATTTTATTTTAAATTTTGTTTTACATGATTTTTTTGCCTGTGATTTATTACCTTTCATTTTCATCAAGTTTTCATCCTCTCTACTGTGTCTCTGTCTATCTGTGCAGTTGGAACAGAAGCAATTTCCCTCCAGGATCAATAAAGCTTTTCTGATTCTGATTTTCATACAAACTGCCCCTCCTTTTTTGCTGCCAACATCCAGCGGTTCACATACCGGACCTTAGTCAAACTTCTGAAGAATGAAAACGGCCATCTCTAAAACTTTATGTAATAAAGTGCATAATCAATTATTCCATATAACAATCACATAAGAATTAAGCAAGAAAAAAGCTTTTGGTGTGACCTTTGTCCTGAGGTGGTGCATTCCTCTGTTGCTGTGATCAGAAGGTCTCTGGTTCAAGTCTGTCAGAGGGATTTCACTGCTAGGCCCTTCATCAAGGCCCTTGACCCCAATTGCTTTAGGGATACTGTGTGATCCTGCTCTCAAAATTGTGCATCATTTTGAATAAATGCATCTGCTAAATAAATGGATTGAAGGCAAAAATGATTTTACACATTGATATATTGGTCTCATTTTCATTTACAACTCGTGACCATAAAGAGAACATACCAAGAAAAATTAAACACATTTTAAGAAAAATTAAATGTGTTTATTGTATCCTGTGTAAGAATACAGTCTTCAGAAAACATTAAAATATGAACATTTTCAAAGGATTATTAGAAATATTAAAAAATGGCAGCAGCCAATGTGTAGCAGTGCACATCTTTAATTTGTGGCTTCAGTTTTTCAAATGTTAGTAAAAGGTTTTGATTCAAGCTATGTACACATTTTATTATGTAATAGGAAAAGAATCTATGTAACAATGAATGGTCAAATTTTGCTTCATTTGTCTTCGTGCCTTTGTACATCAGTGTCTGAAAATACATACAGAAGAGTTATCAGTGTCCTTAAACATAATGTGCTTTAATCAAAAACCCTAATGACAGTTTTTCAAATGTTTAAAAACCTCTCTGTCTGACTAAGCAGCTGTTAGGGTGCAGTCGGTTTCTTGGGTTGAATGTATCTGCTTAGCTTTATTTGCTAAACGTAATAGTTTATTGTACATTTATGTAATTTAAATGTATTGATTGTTGTAAAACCATCTGCCCCTCCACTATTTTGGTTATTAAATGGCATCGTGGTTGTCAATATCATAAATATCATAAAATCAGTTATATTGAGCATCTTAAGTAAAGTATGTTTTGGGATATTGGCGAATTGCACACTATCAAACATACATATGATACATAACATAATCAGAGAAGCTGGATTACACAATTTCAAATATTTCACTCATTGAATTTTGCCCTCTAAAGTTCCAACACCAACGCATAGATTAATAACCATTATTTCTTCTTTTGAGTAGAAACAGAGGGGGGAAAAGAGTGAGCCAGTGTTTCCCAGCCAGATAAGAATCAAATATAACATTCTTTAGTTATTGAATAATAAATAAATATTGACAATATGTATTATTAGGGTGGTACCTTGCCTCAGCATGTAGCACTCTTGCGTCAGACTGCATCCTGCCCCTGGGTTTCCTCCAGCAGTCAATAAACATGTGGGTAGGCTAATTAGCTTCTCTACACTGCCTGTAGTGTGTGTGCCCTGCAATGGACTGGAACTCTGTCCAGGGTATACTCCGGCTGTGGGCCTTGAGCTGCCTGGGACAGGGTCCAGCTACCCCCCCCAGCCCCCCAACCTACTGTAACCCTACCCTGGATAAACGATTAGATGATGGATGGATATTTATTATTAGAAATGATTTGGAAACATTACACTGTCTCTTTCAGCACAGTTGGCGAATGTGAAATATACAGAACTCTTATTCAGCAGTAATTGATAGATAGAAATTAAACATTAAAAATGTAATAATTTAAAAAAAGGCAAATGCATATCACAAAAAGAATTAAAGCCTGCACTTGATGAAACCATCTTGATCTTACAAACATTACACAATTTACATAATAACCATTCAAAAAACACTGCCAAGTATACAATGTAATACCAGTGCACATATAACGGGGACCTAATTCTGGATCAATTGTATTATGTATATTACTGTATAATGATTGTCTATTGTCACATGCTTTGAGGACCATCTTACACAAGTAACACTTTGTACTGAGAGAAAAAGAAAGCAAGACTGGAAAAATGGTGGTGACCACCAGGTACTCATTTCCGAGTCAGTAGCTCGTTCTCCAAATCCTCCAGTCTGGCTGTCAGACCAGCCAGTGAGAGCGGTTAAGGAACATCATGAATATTCACGTGCTGTGGTGCAGCCACATAGACAAACACACGGGAACAGAGCGTAACTCGAAATGAACACAAAACATACTGTGTGTCATAGACCATTAATTTTGGAGCGTTCATCTACATAAGCAGCTTAGAAAATTAATGTCTCGCTAGATAAATAGGGCAATTTTTTATAAAGTTGCATTATATGTGTTATATTAACATAATCATACTAATGGCTTTTAAATACATTTTAAATGTTTAAATGCAACTATTACATTTGTTAATACATGTCCATATAATTCAGTTTTATTTGCTGTATTTTCCCATTCTGTTGTAGCTGGCAATGAGTTAGCAAAATGAATAGAACTGCAGATGAACATATCAACAATTAACAGAATATATTTTGTCAAACTTCTAAATGAGGTAGAAACAACATCAGAGGAGAGGAAATCTGATCTAATTGGTCTGCTGACCATTTATCACCTGTTATTTTTTTTTTGGTTATTTACATAATTCTAGGGCTGAAACAAACAATTTTCCAAAATTTTCTCCATTTAGATTTAACTTGGTCTAAATTTCACTAAAATATCTCACACGCAATATGTGCGTGGCTGTCTCTTTAACTTTTATTATTTTAATTATGTGCATATTAATTTATACAATTAATAACTCACTTAATTGTGCTGATGGTGGATAGAACATTAGTCTGTATTTAGTTACTGAATGTTTTAACTCCAGTCTGTTCTTTGTAGGTGTGTAATACAGCACCGAAAAATCTCAAAAATCACAATATTTTACGGACGATGTGCTCTGCTAATGCGGGCTGGTCGCTAGGCCATATAGAGGTTGGCTGTATGTATGACAGCCACTTTATTGATACAGTAAAGTTTACGTAGGCATTCAGCCAGCCCTTTACAAACACTAAAAAGTAGAAGGCTTTGAAAATTCACTGCAATAGAAGCACCATTGTACCTTTCGCTGCCTCACCCTAATAATGGGTGCAGGAGAAAACAAGTGAATCTTTAACGCAAAAATGACTGCAGGAATTTGCCCTTCTCGGAGCCCGTCTGTTCCCCGGCTCCAGCCTGGCACAGGGATCTGCTTACCTGCTTTATTCTCATGAATGGTAGGTACTGAGGTATTTGCTGACAGGCTCTCACCAGGTCTGTCGACAAAGACTTATTGTGACCCTTGCTCATAGGCATTATAATTCACTGTGATGGACCAAATGGATGTAATTTGTCTGCCCAATGTCAAAGTGTTAACTTAGTACTACCAAGAGACTCTGAAACAGCACCGAAACCCATATGTTACCCGTATGCTAAATGTGTATATTATTTCTTTACACGCTTTGAAATTTAATCTGATGCCGTATGTCTTAATTTATCCGAATGTAAATATGCCGGCATGTCATTGTCAAGACAAATGTATGGTCAGCAGAGAGTAAATGGTTGTAAAAAGAAGGCAAAAGGATATTTTTTTGTGTCAACTGCTCCAAGGCAACCATGGTGGTCTGCTGGAATTCCACCTGGCTCTCACAGGTGCACGGATCCTTCACCTCTATCTCTCCCTGACTTTCCTCTGAGGGAAGACATACAGGTCAATGGGTGAGCACCTCCATGCACCCGAAGCGAGTCAGATAACCTTCTTTTAAAAAAAAAAAACTCTACACTCTAAAAAACGCTGGGTTGTTTTTTCAACCCATATGCTGGGTTGAGACTGCTGGGTAACAAAGTTGGGTTGATTTAACCCAATTTGGGTTGAAAATCGGT